CAACCCCCCACTGGGACCCCCCCTTGGAAAGAGGCTGCTGTTGGCTGGGACGGCAGCCAGCTCAGTCCCAGCTTGGGCCAGGTCTGGGACCAAACCCCAGTGCAGCTCTGTCATTGAAGACACAGTAGGAGCTGGGGGGAAAGCTGTTCAGCTCCTACTGCCATTTAAATTGCAAAGCTGCAGTGGAGTTTGGTCCCGGCGCCGGGTTTGAGCCGGCTGACTGCCTCTATTAACTAATCGAGTAGTTGCTAGAATTTTTATCAACTACTCAATTAGTAAAATAACCACATTTTAACATCCTTAGCTGCTTGCTGGCTGCTAATATTTGTTTAAGAGCTAATACCTGTGTGTCTATTTGAGTACTTGCTTTTTTAATTCAGTCATCATAACTGTTTCATTCATGAAGTATGTAGCCTTTGATTTCCATAAGCAATACTATGAAATACTCCGAGACCCTGCTGCTGGAGCTCCCCGCTGTTCTCTCTTCTCTTCCCTCCCCCGCCCCCACTGTGTTGCTAGGACACCTTACTGTGCTCCTGCCCCGGCTGCCAGCCCTCCCTTTTCCTGGGCTCTGTGGTCCAGGAACATCCGTGGTCCATGCTGGACCATGGATGTTGCCAGACCAGGGAATCCTGGTCAAGGGAGGTACAATCTGTACTGAACTATTGAATCACTAGGTGGAATTCTCCTTTTGGTTCCTTACTGTCCCAGCGTGGTGTTTGGTAGTGCTGTGTTGCTAGAAGAGCCGCCTTTGGGATGAGATGTAAAGTTAAGTCATGACCATTTGTAATTAATAAGACTTTCCTGGCCCTTTTTGGATGGGCTCATGTGTCTAGACTTTAAGCCATGTTAAGAGCTGGTTGCATTATGTCCTAAAATTCGTTTGCCATTTTTACTCATTCTCTGACCTGATGGTTTTCTATGTTCTAATCCTGTTAGATGACAATGCCCAACATGTCAAGACAAAGTAAATGAAATGTTATGTTCAGTAGAAATTAGGGAGAGTTTTAGGGATAATATAATTAAATGGATGTGTGTGTGACATGCTATGCATTTGTTATCATTAGAGAAAGATGATACAAATAAAGTTAGAAATAAGATATTAGCCAATAAACCTCTTCTTAAATGCCATTTCTAATCTTATTTTTTAATCATTTAGGTAAAACAAGCCTGGATGCTAAGTCTGGTGAGTTTATAAAAGATGTTGGAATTTGTTCATATTTTTCATTTAGACTGAGAGAGATGTCCTAACTTTCTTTTCTTTTTCTTTAAGTCCTCTGTGCAATCTGGTACTGGCGAGATAATTCCTTTTGCGTTTAGACCACCAGGTCAGTTGCTGTAATAGAACCGGTTTCCAATGACTGAAACAGATGGGGGACCCCATCTAACTATAGAAAAACGCGTTCACTGTTCCTTATGTTAGTTATATTTATCTTACCAGTTGAAAACTATTCCTGTAGTTCTTTAAAGAAAATGTATTTGTATACATCTTTCACATAGTTCATCTACTCAGAGCACTGTCTGAACTCAAACTCCCTAGGGGGAAATATACTGGCCAGTCAATATTTTTTGGCACTATGTGAACAGTACCCAAATCTCTCAGTGTATTGGGTGCACTGGACTTTTACTTAATCCATAGAGCTTTGATCTGTCACTCCCTGATTTATTCCAGACTAGCTGGGGTCTGTTCTGTGGGTAGAATTTGGTGGGGGTAATGAAATAGTAAACTAGGATTGCAGAGTCTGGATGAGACACAAATATACTTTCACAAAGGCTTTTGAGAAAGTCGACCAAAGATACATGAATAACATAGCTGGAGTCAGCTACCTTAGGTTGAATTTCTGCAGCATCCTCACTGCGGGAGGTTGATGGGAGAAACTGTCCCATTGACCTCCCTTACTCCTTGGGTGTGTCTAGACTACATGCCTCCATCGACGGAGGCATGTAGATTTATTTGTTCGAAAAAGGGAAATGAAGCGGCGATTTAAATAATCGCCACTTCATTTAAATTTAAAAGGCTGCCCCGCTCTGCCGACAAACAGCAGATTTTTGATCCTCAGAAAGTCATCAAGTCCAGCCCCCTGCTCTAGGCAGGACCAATCCCAACTAAATCAACCCGGCCAGGGCTTTGTCAAGCTGAGACTTAAACATCCCACGAGGCATACCGGGGAGGTCGACAAATGCCTTTGATGTCGACCGCGGAGTGTCCAGACTACCGTGTTGTGCTGCCAAAGAGCTGATCGGCACAGTGGGGCAGCCATTTAAATTTAAATGAAACGGCGATTATTTAAATCGCCGCTTCATTTCCCTTTTTCGAACAAATAAATCTACATGCCTCCATCGACGGAGGCATGTAGTCTAGACACACCCCTTGTGACCCAGTGGAGTACCAAAGTCGACAGGGGCACGATCAGCAGTTGATTTAATCAGTCCTTACTAGACTCTTGCTGATCTCTGCAGCTTGGATCTCCCAGTAAGTGAATACAAGCCCTTGGTGATGCTTGTGCCTCCTAGTTGGGGAATGAGAGACAAAGGTCAGGATTCAAACCACAGACCATGATGCTTTCTTTTGCACTAGTCGTACATGTTTCCTTTCCCCTCATCCCCAAGCCAACTACTTGGCTCCACAAGTTGATTTACTAAAAATGTTGTTTCTTCTTTTAGCTTTCCTCCCCATAGTCACCCCACTGGTGAGTAATGATGGAAGAGTGCAATGGATCAATGTGTGTATTTATAATTATATACATTTTCAGAAGTGATGAGTCATTTTAGATGTCTCCGTTTCTAGATACTAGATGTTGAGTTGGACATCCAAAAATTGAGATACCTCAAACCGCTGCTCACTTTGCTTTTCAGATTTTCTAGAATGTTTTTCACACATGAAGGTCAATCATTCAGAAGTCATCTGTTGTAATTCATGAGGCACTTAGAACAATGCCTGACTTTATTTACTCAGAACAGCTGAATTGGATTTAGAGAGAGGCACAGAAAGCCTCACACTCTGCTACTTGGTACATACATTTCAGGGTACTAATAAAAAAACCATATGGATGGAAAATAATTATTGTAATAATACCCCAGAGTTTATGTACTTGGTATAGATGTCACAATTTGGGGAGTTTAATGAAAGAGTCCATATGTTAAGTAGGGGTGTTAGAAGCATGTAATTCAATAACGGTGTAGCCGACAAATTTTTTTGTTGGATACATGATTAACCGATAAGCAGCTCTGTATTTAAAAGAGCTTGAGAGCCTGTGCAGAAGCACGCTGGCTCAGTTCCAGCGCACACCTGGTCTGATACCTACCCCTGCTGCAGAGCCGGACACCTACCCCTGCCGCTATTGGACCTAGCACTGGGACTGAGCCAGCATGCTTGTGCACTGGCTCCCAAAATACTGTAAATGCAGAGCGCCAGGGGGGAGGGGCAGGAGAGCGTGCGTTGCCAATAACATTAATCGATAAGCATTCGCTTATCGGTTAGTTGTTTAACTGGATACACTATTACATCCCTAGTATTAAGTTATTGAGCTAAATGTCCAGATTATTGTACAATCTGTGATACAGGTTGAAACTCTCTTAACCGGGATTCTCTGGTCTGGCAACAACGGTGGTCCGACGTGGATGTTGCAGGACCAGAGCGTCCCGGTGGATGGCTAGCAGCAAGTAAGGATCCCTGCAGGGCCAGTAGGGTAGTGGGCTTCCCGCAGGGAGCTGACGTCGGGGCTGGGAGACCTGGTACACGGCTGGGAGCTGCGGTGGCATGCCCAGCTGTCCAGAGCCCCAGCACACGGTGCATACAGTTGCCTGCACCTGGGCAGTGATGGCTGCCCAATGGGTCGGCAGGGCAGCATGGGGAGCCGACTGGGAGGCCAGCAGCTGCGCCAAGGGGGCCAGCAGCAGGTGTCCAAAAATGACCTCCCCATGTCTGGCAAAATCCCTCATCCGGAACCAGTCAGGTCCCAAGGGTGTCAGGTCAGGGAGGTCTAACCTGTATTACCAAAATGTCTGGTCAGCATAGGTATTGCATTTAAAAGCAACAGTAAAACTGAAAGAAATTTCTCTTGAATATCTACCTAGTATTCTTCAAAAAATAGGGCTAGATTAATCCTTGGCATAAACAAGTACCGCTCCTCATTGTCAAGTGCTGGGTATTAAACGAAGTGTGCATTACACATCCCCTTCTGTGGATTTCAACTCCATTCATTTAATAACTGCTGCGTCTTGGCTGGCATCATGGATTGATCTAGTCATCTCCAGAACTGAAAGCATCACTCCTGACTGCTTGAGCCAAAGAGTACGTAGCTGAGAACTGTGACAGATTGGATCCAGGATAAATAAACTGGATCCCTCTCTGCTGTAACTGAATTTGGTCTATAAATCTAAAACTGTGGCCATCAAAAAGTAAATCCTTAACTTTAAGGATCAGGCCTGGGATCAAAACTAGGCTTTACCCTAGGGATGGGCAATAATTTTTGCCCAGGGGCCACTTCAAACATTTTTGAAGTAGCCCCAGAAGGGGCAGGGCCTAAATGGGAAGGGGGCGGGGCTACACCACCCCCAGACCATGATTGGTCTGGGGGGAGCCCTTTTGTCACCCCTTCCCATTAGGCACCCATGCCCTGGAAGAGGTTTGGCATGCACTCCCGGGCCAATTAGGGCCTGAGGGTGGGGAGTATAGGAAGCCTCCTCCTGCCCTGCGAGGAGCACATGGCACTTAGAAGTGCCACAGGCTACTCACAAGGCCAGCCAGGGCGAAGGAAGCTTCACGCAGCTCCCCCATCCCCAAGCCCTGATTGGCCTGGGGGCGGGGGAGCATGTGAAGCCTCCTTCACTCACCTCCCCCGCCCCCCTGATCCCGCGAGCAGTGCATGGTGCTTCAAAGCACCACGTGCTCATTGGCCTGGGGGCAGGAAAGCAGCAGGGCTTCCGCGGACCAGATCCACTCGCTTAGTGGGCCAGGTCTGGCCATTGGAGGCCCTTTTGCCCACCCCTGCTTTGCCCTCTAATGAAGACTGAGTATCTGACTCATAATTATGTTCTTCTTTGTATCTAATATTTCTGTCTGACTGCATTTGTTTCTCTTTGTACCCCCCAGCTGTGAAGGTGTTTGTTATTGCTGATGTCAGAGTATATCACCCAGCTAGTCTCGTACCCACTGTTTGACTGATTGTATTTCTCTTTTCTAGTAAATGGGAAAGTAAATATGCACAGCGAAATGGAAGGGATATAGGGCTTGTTAGGTCTCTAAGAGCGAAAGGGGGAGCGTTCCCAGCAAGAAGTAACTGGTGTGTTTGCATATCAGCTCTCCTAATGACTCAGCTCGTTTGCTAGAGGCCTTTGGTGCCATTGTAAATAATAATAATAAATTGGTCTCCTTCACACTTAAATTAGCCACTACTGTTCATAGGTCCCTGGATTCATAATAAATTGGTCTCCTTCACACTTAAATTAGCCACTACTATCCATAGGTTCCTGGATTCACTGAAACTAACTTTCCCTTGTTTTTTCCTCTTAGCTTTTTACTAGCTTACTGCCACACAGAGAAGCAAAGCACATGTTTATTTGGCAGGTAATAACCATTTTCATTCTGCAGTTATAAGTGTTACACATGATCCAAAAATACACTGTTGTTTACATTTTCCTTTTCTGCAGTTCCTGTTTTACGCATACACTGCTGGATTCACCATAGCAAATGGAAATGCTACAGCTAAAGCTGAAGTATGTAGGGTTTTAAAATTTATTATTTTTAGTTGCCTGATTGCTGCTTTGAACATGAGCTGATGACACTGAACTTACATAGTGTATGTGTTCTGATTTTTAGGACATTCCATTGCCACAAAAGCAACTCCTTTTGTGCACAGGAACCGTTTTTTATGCAGCGAGTGTGGGAGTACGTATTTGCATGATCTCAATAATTACTTTCTGATACTTTTGCTTGGGGGACTAGTAATGGGATTGTCACAAGGCCTAGTACCCTCCAAGTCAGTTCTTCTAGAGCTCCAAGTTATCTTGCTAGTTTCATCCCAGTACCTCTGTTGCAAACCTCTACCTTTGCTACTGACTCATTTTCCGCTGAGGTTAGAATTTAGTAGCTTTTTCTTGCCAGTATTAAATTCTTTTTTTATCATTCTCTGTTTTTTAGTCTAGAAAATAGAGAAGAAACCACAGAAGGAATTTTGCTTCTGCTAAAACATAAACTAATTTAGCAGGTCATCATGAAATATTACCACTTAGGTTCTAGATCCAAGTTCTTAGTTCACATCTGCCTCTATAACTGACTCAGTTTAAATGCCCCAAGCTTGGTAGAAGTTTGGATTTGAAGCTATGAACTTTGGGAATGTTCAGTTTTGGGGGTTTGGCCTTAATCTGTTATTGGATTCAACATTTTAGATGTATGAGGATTTCAGACTAGTTCAGTCCTCACTAAATTCAAGCACACAAGAAATACAGGCAGTCCCTGGGTTACGTACAAGATAGGGACTGTAGGTTTGTTCTTAAGTTGAATCTGTATGTAAGTCAGAACTGGCGTCCAGATTCAGCCGCGGTTGAAACTGATCAGTTTCAGCAGCGGCTGATGCCAGTTCCGACTTACATACAGATTCAACTTAAGAACAAACCTACAGTCCCTATCTTGTACGTAACCCAGGGACTGCCTGTATTTCTTGTGTGCTTGAATTTAGTGAGGACTGAACTAGTCTGAAATCCTCATACATCTAAAATGTTGAATCCAATAACAGATTAAGGCCAAACCCCCAAAACTGAACATTCCCAAAGTTCATAGCTTCAAATCCAAACTTCTACCAAGCTTGGGGCATTTAAACTGAGTCAGTTATAGAGGCAGATGTGAACTAAGAACTTGGATCTAGAACCTAAGTGGTAATATTTCATGATGACCTGCTAAATTAGTTTATGTTTTAGCAGAAGCAAAATTCCTTCTGTGGTTTCTTCTCTATTTTCTAGACTAAAAAACAGAGAATGATAAAAAAAGAATTTAATACTAGCAAGAAAAAGCTACTAAATTCTAACCTCAGCGGAAAATGAGTCAGTAGCAAAGGTAGAGGTTTGCAACAGAGGTACTGGGATGAAACTAGCAAGATAACTTGGAGCTCTAGAAGAACTGACTTGGAGGGTACTAGGCCTTGTGACAATCCCATTACTAGTCCCCCAAGCAAAAGTATCAGAAAGTAATTATTGAGATCATGCAAATACGTACTCCCACACACGCTGCATAAAAAACGGTTCCTGTGCACAAAAGGAGTTGCTTTTGTGGCAATGGAATGTCCTAAAAATCAGAACACATACACTATGTAAGTTCAGTGTCATCAGCTCATGTTCAAAGCAGCAATCAGGCAACTAAAAATAATAAATTTTAAAACCCTACATACTTCAGCTTTAGCTGTAGCATTTCCATTTGCTATGGTGAATCCAGCAGTGTATGCGTAAAACAGGAACTGCAGAAAAGGAAAATGTAAACAACAGTGTATTTTTGGATCATGTGTAACACTTATAACTGCAACTGTGGCGCATCTGGGCGTCCCGCCGCTCCCGTCCTCCGGGGCGAGAAAAGCCCCGTTCGTAACTGCGGATCTGACATAAGTCGGATCCGCGTAACTCGGGGACTGCCTGTATAACTTCATTGATTGTACAGGCTGAACCTCTCTAATTTGGTACGCTCTGGTCTGGCAACATCTGTGGTCCAGCATGATATTAGTTAGCCGGATGTCCACTTATCATGGATGTGACTAAGTTTCCTGCAGTCCCTCAAAGTTTGTTTACAACCACCAGTCCTGGTTCTCAGTGTTCTATGCTATTATTTAGCTCTAATTTACCCCTAAATGTCTTCTAAGAGCTCAGTAAACAGTGGAAGTGTTGGTAATGCTTCTAGAGACTATTGACCTTCCATAATCTGACACATTCTCTGGTCGGTCAAGTCCCAAAAGTGTCGGACTACAGCAGTTCAACCTGTGTTACGCTGTAATGGGCAAAACTACATGTTTGTGGCATGACTTTTATTGCTAAATAAACTTAGATGGTTTTTATTTCATTTTCCACAGCTAGTTACCATAAAGACCGCATGTTTCATAAATATCTAAATAAACTGAACAAATGTTTTTATTCCCACTCAGAACTTTTTTTAATTTCACAGTTGACATTTTTGTAGTACATGTGCTGATACTGAGTAGTACAGAATACTGTCCACAATGCAGTTATTATTAAATACTATTTTATCTGATAAAGCTTTCATTTTCCCATTTTTTTTCTATAAAACATGTAATCACACACAAAAAAACCCAGCTATTAGAGAAAATTTGATTGCCTTAACACCAGATTTTTTTTTTTTTATCGGGCTAATTTTATCAGTAGCATTTAAAATACGAAGCCACAAAGTTTTCCTTTTCCAATCTGTGACCTAACTTTCATGATTGGTTTAATTATTAACAGCATATTTTATTGTGTTTCTTCTAAATTTCCTAGACATTCCCTACCTTTGCCATGAAACGATATGGACTGAATAGTCCTACTGTGAAAACGTTCTACAGAAGAATTTTGCCCATTCCACTGGTTGGTGAGTAAAAATAAATTACAAATAAATCGCTGTGGATTTGGTCTTGTATCTGTTACGGACCATGTTCTGCCATCAATCTTTCTTTAGAATGTTTATATTTTTTACATAGAACCAAACCAGGATATAAACTGTCATAAAATCCTGGAGTATTCGCATGATTTCCTATGCATGGATGTGCCACAGCTTTTTCTCCAATGTGTGACCCGTTTGTCAGTAAAGACGTTATCCTTGCAGTTACTGTTGTGGAAAGAGAGTTTCTAGTCAACTTTGTGAAGCTGTCAGCCTAAATTTATCAGTGGTACGACTCCATTAAGATGAGTGAAATTTCACTAGGGGTGAACTTGGCCTGTAATTTAATGGCTGAAGTTGCGCTCTTTACTGGCATGTTGTTTCCTATTGCCATTAAAAGGAAGTTGTAGCCCTTTTTTGTCTGTTACATGGAATGTAGTAGGGTTGTGGCTTCCCAAATGTGTTCTTCGGATCTGCTTAGAAGCCCGCTTTCGTTGGAAGAGAAAGGAAAATACTGAGAGTCTAAACCTACTTCAAGTTCTGGCACTGACTCCCTTCCCTTGGACTAGTCACTTAGAACTATGTGCCCCCATCTGGAAACTTCCTTAGTGATAGGAATGTTGAGGGTAATTGGCGACTATTGATCTTCGAAAAGGGCGAGGTATTGTGCTGCCAGCATTACTGAACAGCCTGGCAAAAACTGAATGAAAAGATAAACCTAATATTTCAAAAAGGGCTAGATCGACTGGATTTCCCTGATACATCTGGACCATGCTGCTGTTCACAGCTCTTCAGTCACCTACAGAGTTTAGAACAACAGTCTAAAACTTGTGACCCACAGGCCAGTTGGACAGCCTGAGGGGGAAAAGAGAAGGAGCCCCGGGGGAAGCAGAATGCACTGGGTAGGTGCACTCACTCCACTTCCTCTGCAGCTTCTGCCACCGCAGGTAGCAGAGGGGACACAGTTGCTGCTCCCCCTGGTGATCCCAAAAGCTGCGTGCTCTGGGGATGGGGTGCGATGGGAGGGAGAGGGCGTGGTGATGGTGGGAAGGGGCGGTGCTTGGGGGCCAGTAATGGACAGGTCCCCTCCCAGCCTACAAGGAGTCCTGCACTGGATTGCACAATCGCTGCAGCTGGGACTGGCCCACAGGCATGCATTTGAGAGCCCTGGCTTACAGCTTATTCTTGTTAAGAGTTTTGTTATGACAGCTGAGGCAGGAAACCCACTGGTCTCTCCACTCTTCCTAGTCTGTATCCCCTTGTGTTGTTAGCCTAGGGTTGCAAAACTTTTGTCAGTGACTGACATGACACTGGACGTTTTAAGACCATGGACAATGCCAGTTGAGAAGAAAGTGAAATATTCTTGGGTTGTGTCCCAGGTGAGTGGGAGTGCTCTGAATTAAAGCATTGAAGCACATTATTTGAGGCTTGCAACTGTGGAGTGAAGTACCTGATTGGGTTCTTTTGATCCTGTTGCTGAGCAGTGGGCAGCTTAGTGCAGCAGGCTGGTACTTGGGATACCTAGATTCAATTACTATCTCTTGTCATTCATTTGCTGGATGACCTCGGGCAAGTCATTCCCCCTCCCTGCGTCTGTCGCCCATCTGTAAAATGGGGATAATGATCGACTTTTGTAAAGCACTTTGAGATCTATTGATAAAAAGCACTAAACAGCTAGCCATTATTTCTCTATATGAGCATTACTGAAGTACTAACATTAAACCCTGCAAACTTTGCCCACTGGCAGATCCTTGAACTTACACAAAGCCGTACAGGGATTTGTCAGCATAGGGCAGTGTGCAGGATTGCTCACATTCTTGTATCAAGATGCTCAAGATTTGGTGCAAAACCTAAGATGGATTTTCAGGGGTTGGTCTCTTCTTTGGTTAATCCAAAGAAACCTAAGATGGATTTTCAGGGGTTGGTCTCTTCAAGGTTAATCCAAAATACAACTCACAGGATTCATCCCTGGAATTTTTAAAAGTGCATTAATTATAAATGTCCTAATATTGAGTTGGTAAAATCTAATCAAAGCAAAACAACTTTGGAAAAACTAACCAAGCCAAAACCTTTTTACTTTTGCAGCTGGCCTGAGTGCATTTAATGTGATGATTCCCCGAGGAGTTGAGTTTGAGAATGGAATCGAAGTGATGGACAAGAATGGCAATGTCATCGGAGTGTCACAAAAAGCTGGGATGAAGGTAGGCAAACCAGAGATGTTTATACTGGCTTGTTTTCCCTCCCAGTGAAAAGCTTGTCTTAATATTGAGAATAAAGTGAATTAACTGTATTGGAGCCAGAAACATCCCTGTTCTAATCCAAGCTTAGCCACAGATCTGTTCTGTATACTTAGACAAATTCCTTCAAACCAGCTCTGGACAGATTTACAGGGGATAGAGACCCCCGTCGATCCCAGTGTACCCAATGCAATGGCCAGCCACACTGGCAGAAGCACAGGCATTCCTTCTGTCCTCCTAACCTTCGTTGTGCAGACGGCCACAAAAGGGGGGAGAAGGCTGCATGTGGGGTGGAGATGCAGGGGGAGATGGGTCACTTGGAGTCCATGGAGCAGGTAAAACTCAGTATCTTTTAAAAGTCAGGCTACTTATGCAAGGCTGAACTAATTGTAAAATAATTGCTATGTCAAGTGAGTCATATAATGTATCAATGGGAACCTCCTCTTTTTGAGATAACATACATCCTACAAGTGGCATACTCAATAGTTTAGTTTCCCTTTTAGAAATAAATCCTGCCAAACATTTTGAGCCTGCATGTAACTGTTGCATGAAATCTTAGTGTGGTATAGCTCCTAGGAAAATGGGAATATAGCCCATGACTAGCTCTGGTAATACAAATAAGTTACCAAGACTAAAAGCAAAGCTGCATGTGCAGGTAGCTCTAACTTGAATCACATTTTTCTTAGGCAGTACGAGAAACAGCTTTATCAAGAGCAGCCTTGTTTGGGACAGCAATACTTATTCCGGATTCTCTTTTATACTTCATAAAACGGTAAGAGGCGCTACTCCTGAGGTGTGTAGCTGTCAAGTTCTTGGGTGTAGTTCAGACCAGCGAAGGGTTCTGTTACTACCTGCTCTGCAAGCTTGGGTGCCTCTCAGTGCTTTGCTGTTTCAGCTCCACACATGGACCACTCACAACCAACTTATAAATCACACCTTGAGTCTTTTTGTAGTTGTAAGGCTGATTTACTAATTCTAACCCCCCGGGGTCTGTCAGCAACATGCTACTCACAGTCTGGCTTCCACCAGCATTGGTTACTGTTTGCAGCATGACCCCAACAAGCTCCCAGTCCCAAATTTTCCCCAAAACAGGTGTTCTGCATAGGGATGTAAGTGACTAGCCAACTATCCGACAAAAGCTTTTCAGACAGTCAGCACACTAGTCAACTAGTTGTCCCCCTCCCCTTGCCGCTTCTTTCAGAGGTGGAGGTGTTGGGGGCCGCTTCTTTCAGAGGTGGAGGTGTTGTGGGGGGGAGGGGAGGAGGGAGAGATGGCTTAAAAGCCAGTTTCCTCCATCTCCATGGGAGGAGGCAGTGGCACAGCAGTGGCGTTCCACCTTTGAAATGTACAAGGGTCCCTGCTGGGGCTCTTGTACATTTCGAAGCAGAAGTGCCACAGGGAGACTGGGACCAGCAGGGGACTCAGAGTCAGAGTCCCCATTGGCCTCAGGCTCCATGAGATGTTTCAGTACAGGCAGTCCCCGGGTTACGTACAAGATAGGGACTGTAGGTTTGTACTTAAGTTGAATTTGTACTTAAGTCAGAACTGGCGTCCAGATTCAGCCGCTGCTGAAACTGTCCAGCAGCGGCTGAATCTGGACGCCTGGGACAGAGCAGCTGGGGCGCTGCCGGGTTGGTCCAGTAGTGCCGCTCCTAGGCGCTACAGGACCAACCCAGCAGCACCCCAGCTGCTCTGCCCCAGGCATCCCCAAGTCAGCCGCTGCTGAAACTGACCAGCGGCTGACTACAGGAAGCCCGAGGCAGAGTTTCTCTGCCCCAGGCTTCCTGGAATCAGCCGCTGATCAGTTTCAGCAGCAGCTGACTTGGGGACACCTGGGGTAGAGCAGCTGGGGCGCTGCCGGGTTGGTCCAGTAGTGCCGCTCCTAGGCGCTACAGGACCAACCCAGCAGCACCCCAGCTGCTCTGCCCCAGGCATCCCCAAGTCAGCCGCTGCTGAAACTGACCAGCGGCTGACTACAGGAAGCCCGAGGCAGAGTTTCTCTGCCCCAGGCTTCCTGGAATCAGCCGCTGATCAGTTTCAGCAGCAGCTGACTTGGGGACACCTGGGGTAGAGCAGCTGGGGCGCTGCCGGGTTGGTCCAGTAGTGCCGCTCCTAGGCGCTACAGGACCAACCCAGCAGCACCCCAGCTGCTCTGCCCCAGGCATCCCCAAGTCAGCCGCTGCTGAAACTGACCAGCGGCTGACTACAGGAAGCCCGAGGCAGAGTTTCTCTGCCCCAGGCTTCCTGGAATCAGCCGCTGATCAGTTTCAGCAGCAGCTGACTTGGGGACACCTGGGGTAGAGCAGCTGGGGCGCTGCCGGGTTGGTCCAGTAGCGCCGCTCCTAGGCAGACCAGGGAGACGCGGAGCAAAGCCACGGAGGACGCGGGTGGGACCCCAGCGCGTCTGGGCGGTCCCGCCGCCCGCATCCTCCGGGGCGAGAAAAGCCCCGTTCGTAAGTACGGATCTGACATAAGTCGGATCCGCGTAACTCGGGGACTGCCTGTATTTGAAATGCACAAGAGCCCCTGCTGGGGCACGACTGTTTGATTAGCTGATTAATCCAATTTTAACATCCCGAGTTCTGCACTGTCCAGCCCTCTCCTTTTCAGTTCAGTTATTAATGGGTTGTGGCCAGTGTAAAGGGTCAATATTAAACAGTTTGTTGCATAGCTGGAGTCCCAAGCAGTTCAGTTTAAACACAACACTGGATTGGTTTAGATTAATCAATCAATGTTATTAACAAAAGAAGATAGGATTTTAAGTGAATTCAGATGTCCAGGGTAAAAGTCAGAAGTAGCTACAAGAGAAATTAAAGATAAAACACTTCCTAATGCCTAAAATTTGACCAACTGGAGTTGGCTCAAGGTAAAATTTTTACTAGTCACCACATATTCCCAGCAATTTGGCTGACCAAATTCTCAGGACAGAATCTGTTCTGCCCCTCTGTCGTTGTCTTCCCTCCAGCCCCCTAAAGTCCTAGGGCTGGTTCCTTTGTCATCTTAGGTGAAGAGAAGACAGATCAGCTGGGGTTTTCAGCCCCTTTCTTTTATAGACCAGTTAACTTTTGAAGTGGGTTCTTCCAAGGGTTGCCACACAAAGCAAAGTTTATTCAAACAGTAAAGAAGGTGACCTGGTCTGACGATGAAGGAGGCTCCATGCTCTTTCTTTTCAACTGTGTTTACTAATTTGGTCTGTCTGCTGCCATCTCCTCTCCCTGCTTTCTCAAGGACCCTGTTTACTATTTACATGTAAATTGAGGTAAACACACATTTACACATTCCTTCATTTAAGATGCTTCTGTCTAGGAAGGGCTGTTGTGTTTTTGACCATATCCTAAAAACATTATACATTATTATATCATGTTACTATGAAGATTTCAGCATGTACATAGCAAGTTGTTAGTTTTTAATGATTCCTCAGAAGCATAAATACCAAGCTGCTTTCTATTCCACTGGGAAGGGCATTAGAATCCTTAACTATTCTTTGCTTGCTTGCTTTTTCTTTTTCTTTTTCGAGTTTTACTTGTATTGCTACAGTGTATGCTTGTGTATAGACAATGCCAAGGAAGCAATTTCATTGAACTGAGAACTTACACCCATGGTCCCAACCCGGTGCCCGCGGGTGCCATGGCGCCCGCCGGCCCCTTTGCGTACGCCGGAGGAGCAACCTGGGCTGGCCTCACCCCCGGGCGTGCAGCAGGTGCCAGCCCCAGGCGCAAGGCCGGCCCCGGCTGCGCCGCGCGTGCCCTTGCCGGCCCTGGCCCTG